ATTGGTATCAGGTTGCAATTTGCTTTTGATGGTTATCTGATGCTTGTAGAAGGCGCTACTTGAATTTTGCTGATTTAATACTTATGAATCATGATAGTCATTTTCCTAGCTATCTCATTTCTTTTATTATTTGCTCTGAAGTGAAGGCTGGTAGCCTGTGAAAAACATGTTTTGCCTAATGTGAAAAACATGTTTAAGGAGTTTCTAAGGAACAAAAATAAAGTGGCGAAGGTGTTATATTTTCATTATTTGATATGCATGCTTCTTTCTGTTCTGAAGCAAATAAACCAGGGCCAGAGTGTTGAGATTGAAGTTTTTATTTATCCATTCTATATTAATCAATGGATGGGATTAGAAATATGAAAAAATTAGTAAGCAAAATTTGTTCCTGATATGCACGTCATTTTTTTCTAATTGGTATAAATTGTTTTTTTAATTTTATTAGGTACAAAGATTAGAAATATAAAAATTATTTAAAAAAAAAAAAAAAGACTTTTAAGGTTTGTTTTAAGTGACAATATAGCTCACTCAATAAATATAAAAACTTTAAAAAATATGACTTTTACCAGTTTTTCAAAATATTTTTAAAAGGCTTTTATTTATAATGGTAATTTAAAGTGACGAAAAACGAGTAAATGTGTAATTTCGACACTGGTAGTTCGATCACCGAAAAGTTTTCATAAACACTCAGCAAGCTAGTGGTCAACCATCAGTCAAATTGCCAGCAATAGTAATACCGGCAGTTTTTTATTCTTTTGGTGGCACTTATAAAGGTCGAAAAAAATGACTTTTCTTGTTGTGAGTGCTGGAACGGTGATGCGTAGGATCTGTAACTCAGTCAGCATCAGAATACCCAGATAAAGAAGTGAGAAGAAAACTGAAATCCATGAAATAGTGTGCCTTTAACATAGTGAAGAATTCGAAAAATAGCTGAAAAATGAGTTGAGCTAGGAGCAGCCATATATTAGGTAACTAGAAGAATAGCATAACAATTTCAGGTTTAGTTACTATGAGATAGATTAGATTGCGAACAAGTTGGCCGTATAAAGTAGGATCAGGGAGTAGAGTACTAACTCTCGGGTTATTGTTTGTGTGACTGAAAAAATAGACAGATTCCTAAGCAGGGTTTTAGATAAAAGCAAAATAGAGAGGCTCTAATACCATGTTAGAAAGATAGAAATTCTGAATTCATTAGCTCGAGAAAATATTATACAAAGACATCCTATTTATATATGAAAGATTTTCATTGAGAAAAGAAATAGGATATCATAATCAGAACATAATCTTAGATATTATTTTAATTAAAATATCATAATTTTTAATATTATATTTAACTACATAATTACATAATATTATAGAACATGAGATTAACAATAACAATCATAATAATAAAAAGAATTCATTTTTTATTTTTGTTTATGGATATTTCATATTATTTGCTTGTGACATATATAATTTCTGAGTGTGGTTCTCATCCATTATTAATTTTTTTTATTCATTAAATTTTAATGCATTAAATTATAAATTTTATATACATTAATAATGATTAAAATATTTAAAAATGGATAAAAAAGAAACTAAAAGGAATCAGATCGGTGATTTCTACCTAGCAAGAGTTTATTTTCATTTTGATTTCCAAATATAATTCGATGCTGAGGAATCCCTAATGCATACAAGCCAATAGTCACTGAGATTCAAAATTTTTTAAGTGTCCACTAATAATATAAAAAAATTGTTAATGTATTTATTAGTCTTTTCAATGAAAAAGGTGTCCAAAGAAAATTTTTTCTTTGAATTTTCTTATTTTTCAAAATTTGAAAGTATCTGTATACATCTTAATTTAAAAGGTGAATACGCCTTGCCAATAGAAGCGGGTAAGGAGCTTTTAAGAAATTATTTTGCGACATTTTTCAGATCTTTTTCTACATTGCAAGAGATGATGATTGCTAAGAATTGAACCCACAATCTACACCATGCCCAGCCCTCACAATATTTTTTAGAAGATGGCACTTAGCCATGTTGATATATTAAATACATTATTTTTTTTTTCTATATATCTACTGAATTTTTGTACAAGAAATTAAACTTGAGTTTCAGTGCAAACTATCTATCAAATTAACGTCAAAATTGTGTGATACATTGGTAATTCAGATTACTTAAGATAATTCAGATTTAATTTCTTATAATTTCAAATACAGAAAAATCTACAAATTGATTGAAATTCAAGTAATTAATCACTTTTTATTGGAAGAAGGGTATTTCCAACATTTGGCCCTAGCTTGAGGATTAGAATAACCCTGAACTGATATGTATATAGATCATAGCTAGGGTAAGAGGATGGAGGAAGAAGAACAAGAACATTGCAACTGGAGCAAGATGGCTTCCATGATCGATAAATCACTTTAACTCCCTTTGCTAGGGAAAAATAATTACAAAAGATAAAAAATTATAATCTAATGATTGAATTACAAAATAACATATGTTGTTTTGAATCTTAACCATTACATTAAAATTTTTAGTCTTTTCATTTGAAACACCGGTGGCAGAAGAAGATGAATCTATAACTCGTGTTTATGAGATTTCTCTCATCTACATATAAAAGAAATGTAATTTTTTGTTCAATATAAATCTTTCGTTGGGACATTGATTCAGGTTAACGGAAAGTCATCATGTGGAGTAGATCAGGGTTTTCTCTTTTCTCCTTTTATTTTATTTTGTTTTATTTATTTTTGGGGGAGGAGGAGGGTGATAAAATGTATTACAAAGTGGTTAGAAGATTAGAAGGGAATATTTCTGATGATGAAAATGAATCATAAATTTACAAAGTTATGTAAAATCGGAGGGTTTAGGATTTTACAGCTCTCTCTATGAAAGCAAACAAATAAAACTTTACAGAGGCGCTCTCTCCCACACATTCAGGTCAATGGGTCCATCAATTTAATCAATATCTCTTGACAATTACACCCACCCATTTATTAATTCATTTATGAAAAATATTACCATCACCTACGGTTTCTTTACTATTTCCATGACAATCAATTTGTGTACAGCAAAGCCTAATATCTAAGTTGGATCCTCATCTGTCTATATTTTATATAGTATATCTACCTTCTTCTTTTTTTATTTTTTATTTTTCCCATGTACTGGTAGGTTTTGCACCCAATAATCAGCCCATTAAATTATTAAGATACTAATACCTCCGTTACATTGCTTTAGTATGTATTGTGAAAAAAAAAAATCCCTTAAATTTTAATTCAATGGTAAGTATACGTTTCTTTCTATGTTTAAAGAGAAGATTTAGAAAGCTTGAGGTTTAACTTAAATTGTCAAGAGAAGGTGTATTTCCAAAAAATTAGAGTTTGATCCTCACCATTTGAATTTTTTTTCTCATTTATTCTTTATGCCTTGATCTCTCGTGTGTGTGTGTGTATATATATATATATAGATAACAAAAAAGCAGATTTCAAATCCATTCTTTCTAAATTTATAGTATTTACTTGTAATTAAAAGAAATAGATGTGGCCCTTACATATACACATATAACACATGGATTGAATATGTATAGTTACATCTTGGTGTATAAAATTTTAAACCAACAACCTTATAATTTGTTAATAAAATACTAAACTCTTATTTTCATAATCAAAATTTGATCTCTAGTAGCTTCAATTGTAAAAAAAAAAAAAAATGACAAATTTTCTGGTTTATTGCGATATTCCTTTTCTCAATAATGGAAGCAATATCCCATATAAAGGAAACTTAACTTAAACTAAGATTTTTCTGTCATACATAGATCTGTTGAAGGATTGGGTTATTCACCTAAATTTGAATATTCGTTTAATTTTTAAGAGTGTTTAAATAAAAAATTAAAATTCGTTAAACAGTTTTGAACATAATTTTTATACCATTTTAAATTTCGAACCGAATATTAGACAAAATATTTAAAACCCAAACTTAGCCTAACTTAACCCGGATCCATATATATATATATATTAAGTGTAAAAATTAGATATATTTTATTAAACTTAATTTTTATTTTTAATTTTTACATATATAATTTTTATTTTTAATTTATATATATGTGTGAATTAAATATAATCTCACAAAACTTAATTTAATCACACTTTTTAAAAAATTTTTATTATATAAATTAAGTTTAATGAATGGACTTGAGATTTATTTTTTTAATTTGATCTTAGCTTAAAAAAATTTTAAGATTTAAAATTTCAAACCTAATCAAGTTTAAGTAAGTATATATGATATTAATATTAGTATGAATTCGATTCAAATTTGACTTGACTCTGCCCATAAATACTTCTAGTCATACAAATGAGAAAAAAGTTTTTACGTACTTTAATATTATAAGATCATCACAGGTGCATGATTTTAATTACATATATATTCTAAGAAATATGGTGAATTAGTGATACTAAATTTTAGATTCTTTCTATCATTTGATATAATAATAAACAATGGATTAATAATTAATAATTGATGCTCAAGATCATATAACCACTAGATTAAGGAAACAAAACCTATTTGAATATGTGTATATATAAAGTTTATATTTGAACCACTAGATTAAAGAAACAAAACTTATTTGAATATATGTATATATAATTTATATTTGATGCACTGTAAATATATAGAATATACACTGTAATGAATTAAAGGATACTATTTTATTAATAAGTAAATATCAATTTTTAAAATAAACGTATAAAAACTTAATATTTTATTTTAAAAAATTATTTATTAATGAAATGTCATCATAAGTTAAATATAAACCCATATATATAAAAATATTCTCACACAAAGTTTAGTTTTTTTTAAAAAAAATTATACTTTACATTTATCTCTCTAATGAATAAAATTAAAATTGAAAGCATCTAATCTGTATTAGCTCTAAGTGACTAGTAAAAGAAAGAGGGCATGTGATTGTAGAAAATATAAAGAGAATTTAGGAAGGGAGAAATAGGATTGGTCAGAGTTTATAAAAGCGCAAAAATTGTGGAGTTATGCGAAGAGAGTGGGGGAAAAGGAATTATACAGCACTTCCTCTTTCTCTCTCATGTAAAATTTAACCCGTCGTCTTCGGAGTAGAGGAGGAGAAATTAAAAAGAAAAAAAAGAATTTCTTTTGCTGTTGGGTATTAGCTAGCTGCAACATTTATGCTGTTTTTGCGTGTATTGACTATTAGGAAAAGGGCAGCTGACTGAGGGAGAGAGAGAGAGAGAGAGACAGAAGCTTTGTGGAAGTGTCATTTTCCCATATATACTCTCGAGGTAGAACGAAGCAAGAACGCAGTCTCTCAAAAACAAACTTTCTCTGCCTCCCTAATTCCTAATCCTTTCCTTTACATATAATTATTATATTATCATTGCAACACCCCGCATCTCTCTCTCCTTCTATCTCTCTCAGGATGTCTGTTCCTTGAAGAGCAGAAAAAGCTTGCTTTTTTTTTCCCTTTGCCCCAGTACTTTTTATTCGGTAATTATAAAGGGTGTTCTTTCTTTCCCAGCAACCAGAAATATTTCGCTCTTTCTTCCTCTGATCTGATTCTCTGACTCTCTTTATTAGAAAGAGTATTTTCAGTTCCTTTGGTGACGCAGCGGCAGGCACATCTTGAAACCCTTTCTCTTGAGAATAAAAATGTCCCATAAAGGGGATTTCAATGAACAGTCTTTGAATCGGATTCCTGATCTTTCACTGCACATTAGCCCTCCCAACAGTGCTCCCTCTTCTATTTGCACTGGCACTAACGAATTGGATTCTTCCTTTGATATTTGGCGCAAAGACGACGGTATAAAATCACACAGTGATAGTTCCGTCAAAGCAGAATCCCAGGCGGACACCGAGCTTTCTTTAGCAAATCCTGCAAGCAGTGCCTTAGAGGCTGAGAGCCCTTGGCAAAGAAACTCTGGGGCGGCTGCAGACACCGATGATCATAAAAAATGGCACAGAAATCTTCTCAAATGTGGTAACAGTGGGCAACTAAGTAATATAAACCATGGGATTTCATTACTTGATGTTTCAGGACTGAAACCCATCAAGGGAATTCCAGTGTACAGTAAGTGTATGTCGTTCCCGTTTTCGAGCTCGGACAGCTTGTTAGATATGGACCCTAATAAGTTACGCTTTTATCAAACGTCGCCCTATTCATCTTATAATTGTTCTTCCTCGGCTTCTCCGGTGTTACACTCACCCGATCGTTATAGAATAGGAGGTGCACCTAGGTTTAATGGGATTTCAATGGAAGCGCTAAGGCCCCAGATTCATCATCAGTACACCCAATATGGAGCTACAGTGGGTAGTTCAGATTTGTGTAATGGCATGATTAGATCAAGATCTATACCTCAACTACATAGCCAGAGGAATATGAGGGCACCCAGAATGCGTTGGACCAGCTCTCTTCATGCTCGCTTTGTTCATGCTGTGGAGCTTCTTGGTGGTCATGAAAGTAATTCAGTCTCTCTCTCTCTCTTGGTTTCTTTTTTGATCGATCTAGAGTTAGGGATGAATCTATTGATAAGTTTTAATTTATGGTTTTGGGGCTAATTTCCAATTAATTTGATGAGTTCGGTTGATGTTGTGTATTTGATAGGAGCTACTCCCAAGTCAGTTTTAGAGCTAATGGATGTCAAAGATCTAACTCTTGCCCATGTCAAAAGCCATTTACAGGTACGGCAAAGAATTGAAAGATGAAGCACTCATTTTTTTCCGTTTTTTTTTTTTCCTCTCACATATATTGCGGCAAACACAAGGGCACCGCTGAGCCTCATCAGCCTGTCGTCTCTTTCATCGGTAGGGTGGGGTGTGGTTAAGAGAAAAAGACTTTTCCAATCAAAACCGTCCGCGGCGCAAGAGACGATGGGTACAGTGAATGAATGAACAGTTCAGCCTGTTTTGTGATACAGGACAAGTTCGACTTATAGAGAGAAAAGGCAAAGAGAGAGAAAAGTAGCATCATTTCTCAATAATACAAGCAATTACTTCCCTTACCAAACGTCATCCTCATGGTTAATACACAAACCAACGAAAATCCACAAAGAGATGCTACTGATTTGATATTTTTGAACGAGATGAATATTTTTGAACGAGATGAATACTTCTGAACCCCCTCACATTTTCTGTGGTATTTGTATTCAACATTATTACGTTTGTGACACGTTAAAATAGGCACGAATTTGGTCGAATATAAAAAAAAAAAAAAGAAAAAAAGAATTTTTGTGAATAATAACATTATATATTATTTTATTATTATATTTATCATCAATTTTTTAATAATAAATTAATATTTTTTAAAAATCAATTTAATATCTATTATATATTTTTAATAAATAACTATAATACATAAAAATATTTTTTATTAGCGTATCATATTTTTATTTTTAAAAATTATGATATTATTATATTCATATAATATCATTCTAACCTAATTTTGTAAGAGAAATATCTTATTTTATCTTTATCTGTTCTTCTACTCAATAATAATAATTTTTTTTTACTTTTATTAATTTATCTCCTTTTCCTCGTCTCCTTTGGATTTATTAAATTAAATTCTTTAACCTTGTCCCCTTTTGCATCGCACGCAGATGTATAGAACTGTTAAGAACACTGACAAACCTGCAGCTTCCTCAGGTAATTCGCATTGTTTAGCTCTCATCTTTATATTAATTAACAGCTTAATTTTGACCAAATTAATTTTATTTTATATCCTTGATTGTTGTTACACATTTCAATCTTAAAGGTTCTCTCTCTCACGCTCTTCAATGTCTTACACCCAACATTTATTGCACGCATTCTTATACATATATGTTTATATAAGTATATGCATCTGACATGCTTATATTATAAATATTATATTTTGTGATTAAATTTTGTGACATCGAAAATTAACGATAGCATGTAAGGGTCTATTATTTCTTTTTTAAAATTTGTGAATATATGAAATTACATATGACAGATGGATCTGGAGAAGAAGATTATTTGCCTGCTGCCACAAATACGATGCGTCAGAATGCTAACTGTTCAGTGAAGCAGAGAGCAGGAAGTCCAAATTTATCCATAGAACATGATAATAATGTTTACGGCTATCCTTCCACTAATCTTTGGAGTAAGTCATCTAGGTAATTCTCTCTTTCTCTTTCTCTCTCTATTTCCCATTTCTTTCATATTGTTTTTTTATTGTTTGTTTGCTCATTTTAAAAAAAACAAAAGGATCATAATTATATATAATATTATATATCTCCGTGGTTTTAGATTTATAGCTGGATTATTTTTGTTGCTTCTTATGTATGAGTAGCTTTAGCTAATCAACAATAATAAGCTCCACGTACCCAACCCTTTCTATATAATGAAGAAAAAAACTAAAAAGAGTTCTTTTTTTTATTTTTTAATTTTTTATGACAGCTTTTGCTTTTGCTAACCTTTAATTCACCTTTTAAAAATTTTCTGATGAATGGTGATATATCTTAAAGTGCTTACATTAACATAAACCTCTTTTTTCCTTTTCAAGTAGTATTTAATATAATTTTTTAGCTCATTATGATAATTTAATCATTCATATAATTTTAAAATAACCTTATTACTTGTGATTGTAATCACTTAATTTGATTAATAATTTTTAATTTTTAGGAATTAAAAATTATTGTATTTGATATTATTAAAAATAAAATATTATTTTATTTGAAAATACTATAATAATCATGTGTATATATTGTAATAGTTATATAATGATTTCAAGACTGTTTAAAAATAATAATTTGTAAAATACTTGTAATATTATATGTGCTTCATAACAATATGTAATTACATTATTAAATTAACAATTATATTTATTGATTGATAAACTAATTTTATAATAAAAATTATGTAAAAAGCCATTTAAATTAGAAAATTAATCTATTAAAATTATAACAAAAGAAAAACAAAAAATGATATTATACATATAAAACATTAAAAAAGTTAAAAGAAAACTAATTTTTTTTTTAAATTTGTTATATTGAATATTAATTTGAAAATATAAAAAATTTATAATATAAAATAATTACAATTTTAAAAATAAAATTTTAATTTATATATTAAATAAGAAATATTGACTTTTATTGTATATTACTTCACATTTAATAAAAATTTCTCTATTTGAATGAGAATGAAATTACTCCAAAATAATGATTCGATCTTAAAATTACTAACATATAAAATCACCAAACGTTTATTAAACACTAATAATTTAATTATTATATATTAATTATTATAATTTTTGAAATGATCATTTTATATCAAACATCACTTAAAAGTGAATAATACATATCTGTGCCTTTGACTTAAATTAAAGCATGGCCTTTCATCGCCCAAAATTAAAAAAAAAATAAAGAAAATAGCAATACATATTAATTGGTTGGTATAAGTTGAAGAGATATCGATCTCTTAAATGCATAAAAGTATGTGCACTGCAAACGCATAGCTGTAGCTTTTTCAAACCTAGGTACATACTTTAACTCTCGCTAATTCTATCAAGTATGTAGTTTTTTTTTTTTTTTTTTTTTTTAATTTTAATGTTTTTCCCTTACACATAGACAGCCGTACACTTGGACCATTATTTTTAAGTTCATTCAGCTTTATCTTTAAGCTTAGATGGAAGCTTCCCTTGGCATGAGTCTGTTTAGCGTTTATTCTTCTTTTAGAGATAAATTACCATAACAACCCCTATAATTTTAGTTATAACTATATATATTTAGCATTTCCTTTGCATTCTTATATATAAATGCTACAAATTTTGACTCTAAATTTGATTTTTTCTTGGTTGTGTCATGATGTGATATACTTGCTTCTTTTTTCTTTTTTATATTTTATTAATTTTTTTAAATTATCAAAAAAAATAAATAAATATTTTAAAAAATTTTTATTTTCTGTGTAAAATCTACTTATATCAAACTTTTTTTTTTTGTTTTTTCTTTTCATTCTTCTTTTACTTTTCTTTTTTTAATATTTAATATTTTTTTAATTTAAATTTTTTTTTGTTTGGGAGTCAATTGATACCAAGAATATGTCAATTTTTTTTTTTTACTTTTTTCATTTTTTATATATTCAATAAATAATTTTTAGATTTTAATTTTTTTTGTGATACTCACTTCATATCAAGACTATGTCACATGTCAATTCATTTGATTCTTCTTTTTTATTTCTTTTTTTATATTTAATAAATATTTATAAATATTTATAAATTTTTTAAATATGAAGCTTTTTTATGTTATTATTAAAAATATATATATTTTTTGTTATTAGCGTAGGTTTCAATATCACATCCAAATATGATTTTTTTTTTTTTTGAATCAATGATATAATTTCTTAAGAAAAACTCATCATTGTTAATATTTTTTATTTTTGCTTATTTTTTACTTTTTTACTTTTTCTTATTTTTTCCTTTTTGATTTTTTGATTTTTATATTTATTTTTTATTGAATAAATTTTTATTAAAAAGAGGTCAATTAAGATATTCATGTGTCTTTTTTTTTATTAATTTTCTTAATTTTAGTATTATTTGTAAAAGAAGTCAAGTATGTATATACTGTCACTAACTTTAGTCTTTCCTGTGGAGGTACAAAAGTAAGCGTCTACACTTGTACAAGCCCTTTTCATTCGTCCAAATTTTACTTTATTCCTAAATATGGGTAATAATAAGCCAATGAGACATGATGGAAAAAAAAAAAAGATAATTAAGAATCAAAATGAAACACCCTATTCAGTAAGATTGTTACAGCTCAGAGTGAATGATGGATAAAACATTTCAAACTGCTTTAACAATTTTCTAATTGTTATTCAAACAACTACTTTTATTAAAAGTTATTGCAAAAAGCTCATTGTTTAAAAAATTTACACTCTATCACTTTAGTACTAAGTTTGTTTTTCAACTTTGATTTTGAGTTTGCTTATTCTAGAAATAGATATTCTGCCTTTTCACATTCTAAAGAACAACAAGAAAAAAGTAAGTGTGAAATTCCACTTCTTACCACATGAACCTTAGTTGATATTTGAGTCCTTCAAATTCAAAAGATACAATTTTCTTGTTTACAATCAATTCCAAAATTCCCCCACACCAAAAAAAAAAAAAGCAAACGGTAAAGTAAATTTCACTACTTTATTATGGCTTTACTTTGTTAGAATGAAAGATGGAATGACAGAATAAATTTAGAGAAAAGAAAATATACAATGAGGTAAGAGAAAGATTAAAATGTGGATAAGAAGAAAAATACCTTATCCATTCATTACTAATTGATATAATTAAAGATGTTAATGAGTAGAGTATGAGGTGAATAAAATATTTTTTATTTTTAGATTTTTATATTATACTTATCTCCATATTTATATCCAATAAGTATTTCAAATTTATCCCTATCTTCATCTCTATAGATATTTAACGGGTATGAATAATCTTTGGATCCATAATTCTTTTAAAAAATTTAGATTATTTTTTTAGCTTTTTTATTTTTATCTTGCACATTTATATAATTTTTTATAAATATATATTAATATATATATTTAAAATAGAAATATATTAGTTTTAATTAAATAAAATAATAATTTGTAATATTTAATAAAAAATTTATTTACTAAATATGTATAAAAATACATATATAACGTATGAATACAGAACAAATGTTATATTGTTGTCCCCAACCTCATACTTGATAAAAAATCTAAAATCATACACATTTTCATCCTTGCAATGTAATACCGATTCCCATTTCCATTTAGGTAAAAAGTCGAGTTCTTCATTGAATATAGATAAGATTGACAACCCTATATAATAAAAAAATGGACAAAAAATTAAAACCAAAATTTATTTACCATTGTATCTTTCATGTGGAGATTGCAATGAATTTGGTTTTAATATGCTCAGTAGGGTGAAAAAGTGGAATGATAGATAGGGGTGGAAAGCAAAGTGAAAAGAAATAAATTTTGAGTGTACTTAGTAGGAAAAAAATGAAAAGAAAAAAAATTCATTTTTAACCTTTATTAACAAAAACAATTGATTTCAAAAAGAAGTGATAAAAAGAGATACAATGGGAGAAATGTGAGTCAAGTGTGTATATTTCCAAGAATATCAATCTAATTTTATACCTTTTTTTTTTAAGCTTAATCTACAATAGGCGTAGTGAAATTTTATTTTCTTTCCTCTAATTTATCAACTCTATCAAGTAATGAATGGAAAAAAAATTACTTTTTTTCTCCTTTTCTAACTTTCTTACCAAACATTTTATGAAAACAAAAAAAATACTTTTCTATCTTTCCACATTTTTCTTCTTTTAAGTTTCTACTGTTTCATTTTTCTATCACTTAACCAAGTAAAACTTAACTTAAAAAAAAATGTGGGATATTCTAAAAACTTAATTCACATATCTTTTTGTCATAACATATAAATCTGTGAACCAATCATTAAACATAACTTAAGAGTTGCTATTAATATTTTTTGTTTAGGTACGATTACTCACTTAAATAAATCTGTTCTTTTTTAAAAAGACTCCTAAGCTTGACTCAGGTATCCTTAAAATGATAGATTCTAATCTACAAAATCAAAACTAGATATGATAGTATGATTATGCATGAGGAAGGTTATAACCCTTTCGCAACACCTAGCCAAAAGATGAAATAAGTTGATTTCATGTTATCAAAGTCTTAAAACATATTTAAAATCTTATTGAATAAATTTAATATTGAGTATTATCCTTAAATTACTCCAATATGTTGGTACTAGTTTTAAGACATTTTCTCACCTAAAAAGTATTCAAATAGACTCTTTGTTATACTTGAAGAGGTTCCATCATTGGATTTATTAATATTTCATAAAAAACTTTTTATACATGACAAGTAGGATTTTTATGAATCTTGATACTGAAAATCTTTTCTAAATTCTCTAATATATTAGTAAAATTTAGAAAGAATTTATCACTTAGGAATGTACATAGAAATTGCTACTTGCAGCATTTATCACATAGGAATTTCCATCATTAGAAATTCAAAATCAAATTTTATAATACAAACTCACCCTTTAATTATTTTTTTTCAAAAATATCTTTCAACTTGTTGGTAAGATTTTCTATTGAATATATCTTCCAATATGTTG